ACCAAATGGTAGTAAAAGATTATGTTAAGGACGTAGTCTGTTCCTTCTCTTATGGAGAAGGGGAAGTGAGACACAAAATCTCATTCCTCGTTAGCGACGAACTGCCCTTCGACATGTTACTAGGCGTGTACTACCTCGATGTCGCTCAACCTCGATTTGATTGGGATAGAAAGGTGTTGATACACAAGCTGCCCAACGGTAGGACCGTTAGACGACAAAAGTTTAAAGCTAGCAGTCTAGTGGAAAACTACGGCTGCATGTGTGCCTCCTCTTACTATAACTACTATAAGCAGAATCGCGAGGAGGGCATGTATCTAGTCTTTGTCTCTAAGAAAGGGGAGGCCGTAAAAACACCCCCAGAGATAGAATCAGTCGTCACACAATATTCCGACCTTTTTTAGGAGCCCACAAGCGTGGTGGAAAAGGAGGGTGTCCATGCGATAGAAGTTGTCCTAAGTAGTAAGGTGCCTAGAGGACGAATCTATAGGATGTCTCCTGCGGAGTTAGATGAACTTCGCCGCCAGCTCAAGGAGCTCACAGAAAAGGGATGGATTCGTCCTAGTACCTCCCCTTACGGTGCGCCAGTCTTATTTGTCCCTAAGAAGGGAGGTACACTGAGGATGTGCATTGACTATAAGGGCCTCAATGCCATTACCGTTAAGAACACAAAACCCTTACCCCGCATCGATGACCTATTGGACAGAGTGCAGGGATGCCGGTACTTTACTAAGATAGATCTAAGGTCCGGATACCATCAAATTGCTATTAGACCTGAGGACCAGCACAAAACCGCTTTTCAAACCAGGTACGGTTTGTACGAGTTTGTGGTGATGCCCTTTGGCCTATGCAATGCTCCTGGGACATTCCAGCACGCGATGAATATGATTTTTCATGAGTACATAGACAAGTTTATCGTCGTGTACCTCAACGATATTCTTATTTTTAGTAGGACTGTAGAGGAGCACACCGAGCACTTGAAAATAGTGCTAGGTCTCCTAAGATAGCACCAGTACAAGGTTAACTTGGAGAAATGCGAGTTCGGTCGCACCAAGATCTTGTACTTGAGTCATGAAATCTCCGCGGAAGGGTTGAGGTCGGACGATGCCAAAGTGGCCAGCATTCGGGACTGGCCCAGACCTCAGACCGTTACTGAGGTCAGATCGTTTTTGGGGACGACGGGCTACTATCATCCGTTTGTTAAGAACTATAGTACTATAGCTTCCCCATTAACAGATCTAACTCGACTCGACACCCCTTGGGAGTGGACTGAAGAGTGCGAAGCAACCTTCAAGAAATTGAAGTATGCGCTAATGCACTACAAAGTCTTCAAACTTCCGGATCCTGAACAACCCTTTGTTGCGACCACAGACGCTGGCCAATATAACATAGGCGCGGTCCTTGCGCAAAAGGAGGGGAAGAAGTTGAGACCGATCGAGTATATGAGTAAGAAGATGCCGTTGCAAAAGTTACCAAAGTCCACGTATGAGCGTGAGCTCTATGACCTATATAGGGCGTTGGTCCATTGGAGACATTATCTCCTAGGCAGATTCTTCTACGTGAGATCTGACCATGAGACCTTGCGCTGGATCAAGACACAGCCTGTGCTCTTTGACACACTCAAGCGATGGATGCAAGTGATAGACATGTATGACTACCAACTTAATCCAATCAAGGGAGAGTACAATAAAGTGGATGATGCACTATCTCGGCGGGCAGATTATCTGGGCGCGCTAGTCACTGAGTTTGGCATATCTGTCGAACTTACTCGATCACTGGTGGAAGCCTATCAAGAAGATCCAGTTTTGTCTGAGATCATTTGCAAACTGGAGGCTAAGGATAAAACTACCTCCGATGAGTTTGTGCTGGTCAATGGATTGTTTTTTCTTGATAAGATACGGAATAAAGGACTGCGTGTTCCAACAGGAGAGTCTTTGCGTAGTTTATTTTTAGGTGAGTGCCATGATGCAACTGAACATTTCGGGTATAGGAAAACTTCAGCAAATCTAGTACAAAAATTCTGGTGGCCTTCTATGATGGAAGACGCCAAAAAGAATGTTGAAACCTGCCAGGTTTGTCAACGTGACAAACCTAGGACTCAGGCTCCGCTTGGGCTCATCAAGCCCTTGCCGATTCCTGAAGGTCCTAGTCAAAGTGTGTCCATGGACTTCATGGATACTCTTGTGACCAGCAGGTCTAGGAAAAGACACATCTTCGTTATAGTGGACCGCTTCTCCAAGTGTGCAAGACTTGTCGCTATGCCTGAGACTACTAAAATTGACTACATCATCAGACTATTCATGGATAACTGGGTACGGGACTTGACTTTGGTTTACCTAAGTCTATCGCCAGTGACCGGGATGTACGTTTTACAAGTGAACTGTGGCAAAGCACAACCCAATTGATGGGAACTAGACTGCAAATGACATCAGGGAACCACCCTGAGTCAAATGGGCAGGTGGAGCAGATGAACCGAGTAGTGCAGCACATGTTTCGGCATTATATCAAGCCAAGTCAGGACGACTGGGACGAGAAGCTACCACTCGTCGCCAGCCTGTACAACAACGCTGTGCACAACACTACTGGCAGGACTCCCAACCAACTACATCTTGGTTGGAAGCTCAAATCTGCCCTTGACTACCTACTGCCCGAAAACCAGGCAACTGCAGCACCTGGCAACATAGATTTCGCTGTCAAATATGAACAGATGGTGCAGCAGGCTGTAGAAAATATTAGAAAGTCTCAGGATGCCATGATTGCATCCGAGAACAAGCATAGACAGCCTTCTAACTTTCAGGTAGGGGACATAGTCTGGGTTAAGTCATCTGAACTGGGACAGGAAATAGGTATCTACAGGAAACTAATGCCACATATTTCGGTCCATGGGAGGTCTTAAACATAGTGGGCGATCAAGAGGATGGGCCTTCCTACGTGATTCGCGTTCCCCCATATCTACGTACACATCCTGTATCCATGCCTCAAAGCTGGCACCTTTTGTAGAAACTACACAATTTCCTTCCAAACGGTTAATGTTGCCCCCAACCATGGATGGCGAAGTGGACATCGACCAGATCGTGGAGCATCGAGTGATGCCAGTACCACGACCACCAGGCAGAGTCCGCCCTCCTAAGCCGAGAATGCAATACCGTGTAAGGTTCAGGCATCATCTGGATCCCAAGGAAGATTTGTGGTTCACCAGAGAAGAACTTATGAGAGCAGCACCGCAGATTATCGCAGGCTACGAAAGAGAACTAAAAGGAAAGATGCCTACAGATTAGAAGACTTCTCAGAGGACTATCGAAGCAAAGGAGGAGGGAATGCGAGGATTTGGGTCCTCGATAGGCCTAAGGGGGCCCTGCTGCAAATGTGCCCGCCCCAACTGAAGTCGGGCCTAACAAATCACGAGAGGCCCTTAGCTGCCAATTTCGTATTTGGGGTCCAGGCAGTTTCGTCGCGCCAGTTGGTTACGGGAAACACAGGCCGAGCAGCGAGACATTCCACGGCCTTCCCCGGGCCTTTCAGAAAAATGCAGGCCCTGGGCGAGAATCACAGCCTCATACACAGACAGTTGGAAGGCCCAACCGAATGAGGCCCGGTAGCTGCAATAGAGGCGCAGCATCCTGGGTCCTATTGGAAGCTTTTTGGCCGACGCCCAGGCCAGCCAGGCTGCGAAGGCAGGCGGGCTCATTCCATATAGGGAAGAGCTCGCTGCCTGGCCTCTCATTCGGGCACTTGCATGCTAGCG